GTGTAATTTGATTGGTGCATATTGTGTTGTATCGGAGAGTTTTGCTTTTCCCTTTGTTTATATTGAGACCTACTGCTGCTGAGGCTGCTGCTACACTGGTCGTTTTCTCCTGCATTTGTTTTTGCGTTTGTGATAGAAGAGCCAGATCATCCGCGAAGTCTAAATCGTCAAGCTTCATCCTGCCTGTCCACTGTATCCCGTGCTTCCGTCCAGATGTTGACGTCTTCATCGTAATGTAGGATGTAAGATGAATTATTTAAGTTTCGCGGAAAAAGTCATGATCAGTCGAATTCAATTGATTTCAATGATATGAAGATAATGTACTGATCACTAAACTTACAGATTTTTAGTTTAGTTCTTTTAAAAGAATGATAGGCCTTTATAATGGAGGATGAAGCAGATAGTTAATACATTTTTTACGAATTGAATACAATCATTTTTTTAAAAAAAATACAAATAATTATCAGGATTCAGTAGCTAAGTGGATAATGCGATGACGTTTAAAGCGAACGGTACTGGGTTCGAGTCCTAGAGTGAACATCAACTCTGAGATGCAGATACATTCAGTTGACGAGTCCCAAATAGGATGAAGTGGCACGCGTCCTGTATTCCTCTGCTAGCCCCTATCCATCTTTGCTTACAAAGCTTAAGGCAATATTGAGGCAGTCTACACAGGATATACATATGCCAATAAGAAATTGATCAATTACAGTCCTAAATAATAATAAAAAGATATTAGTAAACAATACCAAATAAAAATTCACTTAATATTGTTTGTTTAAATCTTCCCATTGATGTTTTTAGAACTGCAACTAGTCAGTCTCTAATTGGCATACTGTGTATACTGTGTGTATTGCCTCGATATACCCTTAATTCCAAATGAATTCAAATGATGATTAACTTTATATAACCTTGATAAAAGTATATCGAATAAAGTAAATAGAATGTATGTACTTTTTTTTCTTTCATTTAAGGTTAAATTCACTTAATCTATTCATAAGATATAAAGATTTAATCTCCCCAGGAGCACTTCCTGATTAAGTTTAGTCATAAGACATATACAATAATAATAATATAAATCATAAGTCAGACTGATTATAGACTTATATTGATTATTATTATTATTATTATTATTATTATTATTATTATTATTAGTAGTAGTAGTAGTAGTAGTATGAATAGTTTAGTTAGTTAGCTTAACGAGTTAGTTACTATGATAGTCACCAACCTATTAATCAACCAACAAACAATCATAGTCTATTTTCAAATTTTCCTGCCTGCATTAATGAAAAAATAAAATAGATACGGGTTCTTTTCAATCACTTATTGTTATGATTATGATTATCTTTCAAGTTTAGTTATTTGTGTTCATTTGTCAATAATAGAAGTTTTTGTTTTGTTCTTGGTCAATAGTTTAACAAGTGGTACCTTCTCTCTCTCTCTTTTCTTTTTTTTTTAATTTTTTGTTTGAAAAAAAAGAAAGAAAGATCAGTTCAAATGTTCAATAGTAGATGTTTGTGTATTTTTGTTGTTGTTTGTTTGTTTGTTTGATGTTTTGTGTTGTTTATGTAAATAAGTGTATAACAGATAATGTGTAAAATTCGATATACTTCTACTAATACTACTACTAATAATAATGGTAGATGTAAAGGAGACACTATCGAAGTTGATTAACCAAGTTACTGGAAGGTACAATACATCCTTAAAGACAATATAGTTTCCAATATTATTATTATTATTACTATTAGTAGTAGTAGTAGTAGTAGTAGTAGTAGTAGTAGTAGTAGTAGTAGTAGTAGTAGTAGTAGTAGTAGTAGTAGTAGTAGTAGTATGAATACATCTATAATGTGAAGTGTATTGTATCATATTAAACTATGGATAAATAGAAATAAAACCTTGTTTGTTGCATCTTTTTCTTTCACACCATCCCGCATTCTTTGTAAAAAAAAAAGACCCTGAACATTTAGAAGAACAATCTTTGATATTGTAAGTGTAGAAGGTTTATATACTCGTCTCTTTAATAAGATAAAGGATAGGATACATGTATATAGAAGTGGATTTATTCATCATATTATCATTTATAATATCTAGTATGTTTTGTTTTAATAATACGGAGGAAGAATATTAATGACTTAAATATATAGACAACTTAATTTACTGATAAGAAGTTCTAAACTAATGTTACACTTAGAAGTAGTGATCTTAAAATCATCAGGACTCAATGGATGAGTGCATAACGCGATGACATTTGAAGCAAAAAGGTACTGGATTCGAGTCCCAGAGTAAACATCAACTCTGAGATGCAGGCACATCCAACTGACGAATCCTAGATAGGATAAAGTGGTGCGCGTCAAACTGGATTCCACTGGTAGCCACTATCCATCTTTGCTCACTATGTTTTTGAATTAAGCCTATATCGAGACAATATACACAGTATGTACATATCGCCAATAAGAGACTGATCAATTACAGTCCTAACACATCAATGGGAAGATTCAAACAAAAACAATACCAAGTGAATTATATTCATTTAGTTATTAGAAGTATATAAATATAAAATTTAAACATTTCACTTTTTACAAGTTTCACATGACATTTCACTTTTCATCTCTGTCTCGCTCTCCCTCTCTCTCCCTCTCTATCTATCTATCTCTTTCTCTTATTTCCTCTCATTGGGTCTTTTGCTAATATCCCTTTCTCTCGGTTTAGTCTAACTTTCTACTATTGTCTTCTCTTTATGTTTTGTCTGAAAGAAAAATGTATCCAGGATAATTCTATTTGTTCATATTTCCTTTGTGTTGTCATAATAGTAGTAGTAGTAGTAGTAGTAGTAGTAGTAGTAGTAGTAGTAGTAGTAGTAGTAGTAGTAGTAGTAGTAGTAGTAGTAGTAGTAGTAGTAGTAGTAGTACTACTACTACTAATCTATGAACTGTCATAATACACCGTTATAATAATTGAATGAAATTGAATGATTTTCGCACCCTTTTTTTTCTTCGTTTTCATACAAACAAACTGAACAGTTGCTACTATAATTCTATAAAATAGTAGTATATGTATATAGTAGTATAGTAGTGTATGTATAGTAGTATATCTATAAACAATTCTATTGTTTCCGAACAAAAAATAGAAACTCAAATGTATTTGACATAAAGTGAACAACTGTCTAGTAAATATTTAATAGAAAGTTTTAATATAGGCAACAGAAAGGAGGCATTAACTTAATAAATTTGGAAAACGAAACAACTAGATAGTACATTGTTTAACCTTCATAGTACAGTGATAATAATAAGATTATAAATGATGATGATGGTAGTGATGGTGATAGGTCTATTTTAAGAAGTTGTCTAATAAGATCAAATTGTAGACATAGAGTAAAACACCATCAGATGCCGGCCAGCTCAGTGGTCTATCGGTTAAGTGCTCCGACGTGAGACTGATAGGTCCTGAGTTCGAATCTCGGTCACGAGGCGGGATTGTGGATGTGCACTGTTGATGAGTTCCACAGTATGATGAAACGGCTATAAAGTGCTTCCAGGTTTTCGATGGTGGTCTAGCTTCAATTGACTCATGATTTTAACTATGCGAAAAAAATAATCAAAACTTGAATATATATTATAAACAGATGATTTTCATAGGGTTGAATAGGATACATATGGTGAAATAGTTGGAAAAATGATAGTTATTTGTTTATTTTATAGTTAGTATTATGGATTAGATATAGTTAACTAAACAGTCTTGCTGTATGGAGCTGAAACGTGGATAACTACTACGACCATCATCAGGAAGGTACAAGTATTTATCAACAGCTGTCTACGCAAAATATTCAACATCCATTGGCCGGATACTATTAGCAACAGCGTTTTATGGGAGAGGACAAACCAGCTTCCATTTGAAGAGGAAATTAGGAAAAGACGTTGGAGTTGGATCAGACATACACTAAGGAAATCACCAATGTACATCACGACTCAATCCCTAACTTGGGATCCTGAAGGGAAGCGGAGAAGAGGAAGGCTAAATAACACATTACGTCGGGAAATAGAAGCAGATATGAAAATGATGAATGTTAACTGGAAAGAACTAGAAAGGAAGGCTCAGGACAGAGTTGGACTGAGAATGCTGGTGAGCGACCTATGATCCTCGACGAGGGGTAACAGGCGTAAGTAAGTAAGTAATAGTCAAATAAACATGAGAAGTCAGGAAGTACTAAGCTCCTGTTTCGTTCTAATGAGGGACAGTGGGTTAGCCATTGCTTTCTTTTCTTAACTATGTATGTCAGAGTCTGAAGACACTGAATTACATCATTTTTAGTACTCCATTTGGGAAGGTGCAAAGGAGTAACAGATGTCAATCCTATTCATCTTTCTCTTATACCATAGTTCCATGTTATAAACTGACCACCGCTCTGTGTTTTCCATCCAGGTACAACTACAGCAAATAATGAATCAAGTGAAAGACGCTAGAAGGCTACTCATAAAAAAACACATTCAAATTACCGAAGCCAGTGTTTCAAGATGGTGACAGCAATTGTTCAAATGAGTAGTAATAATAATATCAATAGCTATAATGCGAATAATAAGTGGCAAATTACGTAATCATTACTAGTGTAGATTGTCTTCTTTCATATAACTGAATACCATAGTTACTTTTTTTATTCAGTTAGTCAATATAATTCGTGGATTGGTTGAAGTTAGACATTTACACCGTTGGATGCCGGCCGATTCAGTGGTCTATTGGTTAAGTGCTCCGGCGCGAAGCTAGTAGGTCCTGGGTCCGAATCTTGCCCGCGTGACGGGATCGTGGATGCGCACTGCTGAAGAGTCTTACAATAGGACGAAACGGTCGTCCAGTGTTTCCAGGTTCTCCATGGTGATCTAGCTTTAATTGACTCATGATTTCAAATATGACAATATAATTCTGTCTGCTGTTTACTTACCTTCTTGTTTTATATGTCATATTCACACATATAAATACACACAAGTACACACCCATATTCTGTTTTGATGTTCTCATTCTTATTTCCTTCATTCAAATGGTATCTCATGAGACTAAAAAAGAAAAAGAAATTTCCAAGAAAAAAATAACACTGACAACCAAAAATCACAACAACGTCAGTAAAAACAGAAAAAAAAACAACAAAATCGAATGATCCATTCCAATTCGATTCTCAATATTCATTTCCCCACTCCCTCACCTTCCTAACTCATGTTGTATATTAAATACTTGGATGACTTCAAGACCTTCTCTACTACTTGTTTAAATTTGCACATATGCACACATACATACACACACACACATTCATTCATAGATACTGAGAAGAGCATTTATGAAAAAGAAGGAAATATTTGACCAAGAGCTTTCGTATCTTCTTGTTCGTTTGATAAAAAGATAGACAAGATGACTAAATAGAAGTGTATAGATAATCGTGCACTTACACACACACACACACATGTATATAGTAGGTATCTAACAGGAAAAGAGAAAGGAAAGGACGAGTAAAACAAATAATAATAATAATAATAGAAAGGAATAAGGATAGAATTTATGTTTAATATATACGCCACATTTAATTTTGTTTATCCAGTTATGATTTGATAATTTTGATAGATTGTTACCTTATGAACTTTGTGAACTGTTGCCTCAGTGTTTTTTGTTTCTCTCATTCATTTATTCATTCTCAAAGGATTTGAAGATTATTTTTAGAAATTTTAAATGGATTAAATATACTACTACTACTACTACTATAGTGAACAAGAACATGGGTGGGGACAATCGAATGTGTTTAAGCGCAAATTACAAACTGTCTTACTAAAATATGATAACCATCATATGCTCACTATTGACTGACTTCAAGAGATATTTCCTTGAGTTCAAGTGAGAAGCAGTGACCAATGGAGTTCAATCAGGTCTGTTGTAGAGATATCAACTCAGTGAAGATAATTGGTGATTGGTTGCTCAAACTTCGTGGATTGGTTGAAGTTAGACATTAACATCGTCTAGTGCTTCGAGGTTTTCCATGGTGGTTTAGCTTCAATTGACTCATGATTTGAACCATGAAAATACAGTAAATAGTTACTTTGCAAATTATTAATCAATTGAATCAATCTTGACTATCCCTTCTGTAAATATCAGTTCATCGTCTCCAATTATTATTGTCCATACATTTTCAGACCAAATGCACTTCGTTTCCTTTCTTTCCTTATCGATCTTCTACTGAAATACCTGCCCATTACCATATACTACTTAAGGAGATATAAGTAGCCCACACCACACTACTACTGCTACTACATGGTAGTTCACTGTTAGTTCGTCTATTCTATTTATCTCCTTTCCTTTCATCATCATCATCATCATCATCATCATCATCATCATCATCATCATCATCATCATCATCATCATCATCATCATCATCATCATCATCATCATCATCATCATCATCATCATCATCATCATCATCATCATCATCATCATCATCATCATCATCATCATCATCATCATCATCATCATCATCATCATCATCATCATCATCATCATCATCATCATCATCATCATCATCATCATCATCATCATCATCATCATCATCATCATCATCATCATCATCATCATCATCATCATCATCATCATCATCATCATCATCATCATCATCATCATCATCATCATCATCATCATCATCATCATCATCATCATCATCATCATCATCATCATCATCATCATCATCATCATCATCATCATCATCATCATCATCATCATCATCATCATCATCATCATCATCATCATCATCATCACCTTCTTCTTCTCTATCCGCATACTTCTCGTTGTTGGTTTATTCTTTCATTATTTCTTTAGCTTATTTATATTCCAGTCTTCGTATTTGGAAAGAAACAGGTGTTCAGTTTATAGTAAAGATCCATAAGCATGCAAACAAATCAATTTAATGATATACAATAATGAGAAAAATAAAACAAAGAACATTTTTCTTTTTCAATTTATGAAAAATCGATTGTTCGGTTATATTGATTGGTTGAAAGAATCAATTGATCAGATCATTTTACTTTTTTGCTGGGTTTTTTTTCTTTTTTGGAATAACAAATCAATAGTATTTAAGATCTGATATCTGTACTTTACTTTTAATGAATTCAGGAAACACTGAACTCCTTTAGAAGTGCTCATACATGAGTATGGTAGAGGAAATCAAGTTCAGAACCTTCAATCTTGCCTGTGAATGCTCAAGCAAACGAAAGTCAACTATGGAATATAATTGACATGATGAACAAATATAGGATTAAGAATCAAATCAAAAGGAGATACAATCAAAATCAAGAGGCAGATAATGACAAGTTTAAATTCAACACTAACCAATAAAGATAGAGATCGACATGACAAGCTGTGAGTCAAATACTTCACTTCTACATGAAATTTTTCTTGTTGGTGTTATTCAGAACAACAATGAAAACTCCTCTATAAACCATTCAACTCAGAGTATGAAACTTTACCAAAGAAAAAAGGAGAAGTAATATTTAGCTCATAATCAGAACAAAACATTATTGATTTTAGTGCTTTCATGGGACAAAGTGTAACATAGGGGAGTCTCGATGGATAAGCTTTTTAACATATTCAGGTCCTGAGTTGGAATCTCGCGAATGCGGGATAGTGGATACACAATGCTGAGGAGTTCCACAATAGAACGAAACGGCCGTCCAGTGCTTCCAGGTTTTTCGTCGTGGTCTAGCTTCAAATGACTCATGATTTCAATTATGAAAAATACTGAAATCTCCGTAAACCCCCTTCTGATTATAATCATTTTGGTTGTTGATAATAGGTAAGATCAACTATTGAGTCAAGATAATATTTGCGTTCGCATAGTAATCATGTAAAAAGAAGAGTCCTGAATGCAACATGTAGCTATAATTTTGATAGTTAGCTGTAGAAAAATCATGTAAAAAGTAGTATGTTCAGATATGAAATTGATTTGTTTCTCGGGTCAAATAAACCAATATAAACAGTCTTTCTGTTTTCACTACACATCATCAGATTTAGGGTTGAAGTATCAAGCGCAAGTTAGTTAAGGATTCATCAGACATAACAAATGTCAACAGAACGAAACTAAAATTTCACTACCGGCTATCCCCAACCTGATGAAAACCATAACAAAGCCTAAGAGTGATAAATTATAGAGATATATATGAATATATGAATGGTAGACTGTTTCTTTACATTAGCTTCTCGTTAGTTTATACCGACAATCTCAAATTAGATAGAATACAGTGATATGACAGGTAACATTGACAAAAACAGATGATCATTACATGATATTGTAAATTCAATGAGATCGAATATATGAACAACAATATTTCAACTGCCAGTTATCTAATGATATTAAGTTTACTATGAGAGTTGGATGGAGAATGCTGGTGAGCAGCCTATGCTCCTCCACGAGGGGTAGCAGGCATAAGTAATAAGTAAGTAAGTAATGAGATGTAGTAATTCTTTATCAAACTTATTTGTTGTTTAACTTTAGAATATATTTTTAATAAAACTGCTTGATAAAACGGTTTGATAAATATTCCTTAAAATGTTTTAACTACTATTAAGTAGTATAATGCTAATAACATAAGTAAATTGGAGGAAACTGAGTTCAATATAGTATCATACATTAAGGGATTATATTTTTAGACTGGACATAAACATAATATCTAGCGGGCTGTGTTAACAATTTCAATTATTTTCTGCCATGTATGTTAGAAATTCAAATAATTTCTTGTAAGATTCAATGGAGATTTTTCTAAGTTAAGAGTCAGTCAGTCAGCTAAAACGTAGGACCAGGCACATATATGTATCGGTACAAGTTGCCATACCTCATTAGCACAACAAGATCAACACCGGATCCATAGAAGTAGTTAATCTAGTGATGGTAACGCATAAAAGAAAGATTGCATATAAGGATATAGTACAAGAAGGAAGACAGATATGAAGTGATTTTAATCTCACGGTTTAAGGGAAGACAACGAGTGTATATACCTACGCCATTTTAATCGATTCTGAGCCATGTCACCCAGGGTCTCCAACCATTGGTTACGATAGTCACGCGGACCCCAACCAGGTAGTCTGCATCTGTCAACATGGCTCAGACTAGAATTTAGTGACTTCAAGCACTGATGCAACGTTTTGGCTTGGCCGCCCCTAACTCTTTTCCAACCATCGCAAATACTAGTCAGCATAGCACGTCGTGGTAATCGGTGTTCAGGGATACGTAACACGTGGCCTAACCATCTCAGTTGATGAAGATTCGTCACCATCATTCCCTAACACCCTGCATCTAACCTCACTATTACTTACCCAGTGATCCCAGCAGATGCAGGCAATATTTCTAAGGCATCTGTGGTCAAATGATTTTTTCTGGTTAGCGTTTTTTCATTTCATTTCATTTCACTATGGAAGCTTCTTCGACACTACGGCGTGCCTGAGAAGATAGTAAATATCATACGGAACTCCTATGATGGACTAAACTGCCAAATCGTCCACGGAGGACAACTCACCGACTCGTTTCAAGTAAAGATCGGTGTTAGGCAAGGTTGCTTACTCTCACCCTTTCTCTTTCTCCTGGTCATCGACTGGATCATGAAGACGTCAACATCTGGAGGAAATCACGGGATACAGTGGACAGGCAGGATGCAGCTTGACGATTTAGACTTCGCGGATGATCTGGCTCTTCTATCACAAACGCAAAAACAAATGCAGGAGAAAACGACCAGTGTAGCAGCATCCTCAGCAGCAGTAGGTCTCAATATAAACAAAGGGAAAAGCAAAACTCTCCGATACAACACAATATGCACCAATCAAATTACACTTGACGGAGAAGCTTTGGAGGATGTGGAAACCTTTACATATTTGGGCAGCATCATTGATGAACATGGTGGATCAGATGCAGATGTGAGGGCGCGGATCGGCAAAGCAAGAGCAGCATACCTACAACTGAAAAACATCTGGAGCTCAAAACAATTGTCAACCAACACCAAGGTTAGAATTTTCAATACAAATGTCAAGACAGTTCTACTGTATGGTGCGAAGACGCGGAAAACTATGAAAGCCATCATCCAGAAAATACAGGTGTTCATTAACAGCTGTCAACGCAAGATACTTCGGATCCGATGGCCAGACACTATCAGCAACAAGTTACTGTGGGAGACAACAAACCAGATTCCATCCAGCGGAGGAAGAAATCAGGAAGAGGCACTGGAAGTGGATTGGGCACACCTTGAGGGAATCAGCTAATTGCGTCACAAGACAAACCCTCACATGGAATCCTGAAGGTCAAAGGAGAAGAGGGAGATCAAAGAACACATTACGCCGAGAAATAGAGACAGACATGAGAAGAATGAACAAGAACTGGATAGAACTATAAAAGAAGTCCCAGGACAGAGTGGGTTGGAGAAAGCTGGTCGGCGGCCTATGCTCCATTGGGAGTAACAGGCGTAAGTAAGTAAGTAAGTAATCTGTGGTCAAATACTAGGAGCTTACGAGTATCTTCTACTCTTAATGGCCATGTTTCACAGCCGTTAAGTAAAACAGAATGGACTGCTGCGCAGTATACTCGTCCCTTAATTGATATCTCGTCTTCGCCATAGGTGACGTAAGATGGCAAAAGCAAAACAAGCTTTTTGAATCCGTGCTGAGATTTCGTCAGATACCAACCCATTAGGGCTGATCAGACTTCCGAAATAAGTGAAGTTGTCGACGCGTTCGACTACTTCACTCCCTATCCTTAGTTCAGGTGTTGGCGCAGGTCAGTCCTGGAGGGGGAGAGATACATTCCAAATATACTGGTATTGTTACTCAGTGCTAACAGAAGACTCTGCATTTTGTCAGTGTCTTCACCAAACAGGACTATGTCATCTTAAGTTAATTAAGAACACTTCAACGACAATAATATTCAATATAATTCAATATGACGCATTAGTTTACAATGAGGATTAACTGTTTTTATATAATGATGTGACAAATCTAATATTGAACTCAATGAAAATTGGTTGTATAAGAGTTCAAACACATGATAAGGTAAGGAGATTCAAGATATAATGGTTAAGTGCTATGGCGCGAGACTAGTAGGTCCTGTGTTCGAATCTCGCTAGGTAGGATCATAGATACGCACTGCTGAGGAGTCCAACAATAGGACGAAACGGCCGTCCAGTGCTTCCAGGTTTTCCATGGTAGTCTAGCTTCAATTGACTCATGATCTCAACTCTATAAAAATAAACATAATTTATCCACAGTCATATGGAATGATTAACTCCGCCTGTACGTCTTCCAGGGTTACTGCTGATTTCAAGCTCGGGTAAAGCAGGAGGGTTGGCCATGGGATCAACAACCCTATACCATAGAAGTTAACCTTGCTAAAAAAAACAACGCTAAACCATATGGAATGACTGATACTCAGACTTTTTAGAAACTTTGGGATAATATCGATTTAGGCGATGAATTTAAATAATTGCCATATATACCATGACCAAATTTAAACTAATACCTAATAGGGAAATTATCAAGGAGGTTAACAGAATTGCCCATATACTAGTAACTTTAGTAATGATTACATCTATTACATTTAAGGATTAGTTCAATTAGGTGTCGTTAATAAACAATTACCTTTAAGATAGTAATTATGTAGTATATGCTACTTATGTCGACAAACATAAGTAGTATGCAACACCAATAAGAAGTGGAATACCTGGCAGCAGAATATTGAGAAGATCGAATAGAAGAGAACATTAATGTAAACAGAGAGTGATTATAATAACAACAGAATTGAAAGGATAACTGAATGAAGATAAGCAAATGAGGTAATTACTGTATAAATTTCATACTTTATGAAAACATTCTGTAATTTTGCATGAAATAATTAATTGTTCTTCCCCACCCCAGTCCTCGTTTACTACAATTATAGTTTACATGAAACTGATGGAGAAATATGTTACTTACTTACTTACGCCTGCTACCCCTGATTGAGCACAGGCCTCCTACCAGCATTCTCTAACCCACACTGTCCTCCCACTTCCTTTCTAGCTGTATCCAATCACTGTTCATTCTTCTCATGTCTATCACCATTTCTCGGCACAGTGTGTTCTGTGGTCTTCCTCTTCTCCTTTGGCCTTCAGGATTCCATGTGAGAGCTTGTCTTATGACGCAGTTGGGTGATTTCCTCAATGTGTTTCCTATCCACTTTCAACACTTCTTCCTGATTTATTTCTCTGCTCAGATCTGGTTTGTTCTCTCCCATAGTAGGTTGTTGTTGATAGTGTCTGGCCAGAGGATCCGAAGTATCTTGTGTAGACAACTGTTAATAAATACATATGTCTTCTGGATGATGACCTTAGTAGTTCTGCAAGTTTTCACTTCATACAGTAGAACTGTCTTGACATTTGTATTGAAAATTGTAACTTTGGTGTTGGTTGACAATTGTTTTGAGTTGTAGATGTTCTTCAATTGTAAATATGCTGGTCTTGCTTTGCATCTGCATCAGAACCACCATGTTCATCAATGATGCTGCCCAGATATGTAAAGGTTTTTACATCCTCCAGAGCTGTAATCTTTGAAGGGACTTAATGGGATAAACTATTAAGGGACAAAAACTTATTGTTACTGTTGTAAACGATGAAGTCAGGTAGGGAAGACAGAGGTTTAGCAGAATGTGAAAATCATACATCAAATACATCATTTGCATATATTCTTTGAATTGTCTTTTACAAGAGTCAGTGTTCCTTCATTTCTGTTGTCATCTTGATTATTTTCAGTGCGCTTCTCTCTCCCCTTTATTTTGATCTCCTCAACCTTCTGCTCACAAACATTCCCCTTCCGAGTGCTGCTACATTCTACTTATATCGGCAAATATAAGTAACATACACCACACTACTACTACTATTATTACCGCTACAATTACTATCATAAATATTATTACTGCCAATACTACTGTAGTGAAGGAAAACATAAACGGGGAAGACATTACAGAATATCTTAGTAAAATCTGAGAACCATACAGTAAATACTTCATTTACAAAATGTCAATCAATGGTTTTAAACTTTCCTTTGTTTCCGCATCAATCATTCTCTGTTCTCTTTCTCTTCTCTTCGATCTTCTTAACTTTCTGTCGCCATGCATTTCATTTTCAATTGGTAATACATACTACTTATATCTGTTGACATCAGTAACACACACACACACCACACTACTACTAATACTGATATTATGTATAGTTGAAATCATGAGTCAATTGAAGCTAGACAACCATCAAAAACCTGGAAGTATTGGACGGCCGTTTCATCCTATTGTGGGACTCCTTAGTTAAGCGCATCCACGATACTGATATTAGTTAAGCTGACATTTCTGTTAAACACAGAACAAACCACAGATCCGTCCACATATCTCTTAAAAATATATCTCATACATACATAAATAAAAGAAAACAATACAACATAGCAACTTCTGAATGACTAAGTAAGTAGGCACACACTAATAAGTAAATATTTATGTAAAACCGTTGGATGCCGGCTCAGTGGTCTATCGGTTAAGGGCTCTGGAGCCAGACTGATAGGTCCTGGATTGGAATCTCGCGAGTGCGGGATCGTGCATGCGCACTTCTGAGGAGTCCCATAATATGACGAAACTATCGTTCAATGCTTCCAGGTTTTCCATGGTGGTCTAGCTTCAATTGACTTATGATTTCAACTATGAAAATACTAAATTCTCCACAAAACTCCTTTTGATCTATAATCATGAAGAAACAGAACAGAAATAATTAATTACAAATTATTCATTTCAATTCATTATGGATTGTATATTATTAAGTGTGTCATAAAAACAATAACGCAATGTATCCGTTAAACAAAATAGTGTAATAAACAAAAGCACAACTGGAGACAATCGAATGTATTTGAGCACAACATTATAGACTATCTCACTAAATTCTGATTACCATACTATGAACAGTTAATTTGCAAAATAACCATCAATTGTCTCAATCTTCACTGTTCCTTCTGTAAATATCATCAATCCATCTTCTTTAATTTCATTGTTCATGCATTTTCCTACCAATTGCGCTTCATTTCAGTTCTTTTCTTATTGGTTTTCTGCCAAAATACATTCTATGTCTGACCATCACCATATACTACTTATATGGATATAAGTAGACCACATTACAATAGTATTATTATTATGAGTAGTCGTCGTTATTATTTAAGTATTATAAATAGAATCATATACAATAACAATATTATCAATAGAATAGAAATGGTATTCATGAACAAAATCAACTGATCAATGGTAATGTTATTATTTTTTAAAATAAGAATTCACATGTGAATAATCAACATTCTTATCATTAATTTGGAATTTGTACTACCTAAGGAGTAATGATTGCTACTATTGTTATTGGTACTCCTCCTCCTCCTCCTCCTCCTCCTCCTCCTCCTCCTACTACTACTACTACTACTACTACTACTACTACTACTACTACTACTACTACTACTACTATTACTACTACTACTACTATTACTACTACTACTACTAATGATGATGATGATAATAATAATAATAATAATAATAATAATAATGTTTTTGACATTTTCATGAATGGATGGATTTATTTTCACTCACTGCCTACCTGATTCTTTTTCATTTATATATTTGTGTTGCATAGATTGTTTATCGTATGATTCAGTTGTATTGTAAAGAAGAAAGAAGAACCCCCCCTCAAAAAAAAGAAAAGAATAAACAACCAAGTAACAACACACACACACATACACAGATACACAAATATTATTATTGTTACTATCCATAATAACACTTCATTATCATAAATCATTTGAGCTTTATTCAACTTTATCTAATAAAATGATTTATTTGAAATTTGGAAAAAAAGCAAAAATTGGAGATTTGGTGAAATACAAACAAAGTGAGAGAAAACTGTAGGGAAACAAACATTATTATTATTATTATTAGGGATTTTGTGGATATTATAGTAATTTTGATAGTTGATATCATGAATCATTTGAAGCTAGACCATCATGGAAAACCTGGAATCACTGGACGGCCGTTTAGTCTTTGCGTGGGACTCCTCGGCAATGCATATCCACGACCCCGCCTCACGAGATTCCAACCCAGGACCTATCAGTCTCGCGCGCGAGCGCTTAACCTCTAGAACTACTGAGCCGGCATCCAACGGTGTTAATGTTTAACTTCGAACGATCTACGAAATTGAGCGACACATCCACCAATGTCTTCAGTGAGTTACTATCTCACAACAGACCTGGTTAAACTCCACTGGTTACTGCGCTCGCACGCGAAACTGATAGGTCTTGGGTTCGAATCTCGCTAGAGGGGATCGTAGATGCTCACTGCCACTGAGGAGTCCCACAATAGGAGGAAATGGCAGTTCAGTGCTTCCAAGTTTTTCATGGTGGTCTAGATTCAATGGACTCATGATTTCTACTATATAAAATTATTAGTTTCCTTTATTGATAGTTAACCTCAACAAATTTTGGTAGCATATCAAGAGGGTACTGTTTCAGTAACTAAATGTATTATTATATGTAGTATTATCTATTCTTTTTAATTTATATATTTGTAGATAGTATCTAAAATAGTCTGATTTCAATTAGACAACCACTGAAAACTAGAAATTGTTAAACTCATGTATGTTAACGAATCTACTAGGAATCAAATCCAGGACATGTAGGCCTTAGAGTAGACCTTTTATATTTAGCCTATTCAGTTTGAGTTCAATAGTTTAGTTTTTTAAAATTCAATCAATTCATTATATTGCACGATTAACGGACAATGTAGTTGAATGATATCTAACTACCTCTTGATCTAGTTCACTTAGAGTTGTACTTTAGACGTGGAGCTTATCATATTCCGAGTTTTCCTTATCACCCAGTTAATTTTATTTTAAACTTTTAACTGTACTAAGCATTAATGTGTTATATTTCAACTGTTAGGAGTTTTTCCATTTAGAAAAATATCAATGAATTGCGAAAATATAATTTATGAACGAACTAATCAGATTTAGGATCCCAGGTCTCAGATTTTGGCGCGAACTTCATTCACCCATTTGTCTACATAGCGTTTTGGTATTTAAGCTGATAATATGGTGTGGTCTACTTATATCCATATAAGTAGTATATGGTGATGGTCAGACATAGAATGTATTTTGGCAGAAAACCAATAAGAAAAGAACTGAAATAAAGCGCAATTGGTAGGAAAATGCATGAACAATGAAATTAAAGAAGATGGATTGATGATATTTACAGAAGGAACAGTGAAGATTGAGACAATTGATGGTTATTTTGCAAATCAACTGTTTGTTGTATGGTTATCAGAATTTAGTGAGATAGTCTGTAATGTTGTGCTCAAATACATTCGATTATCCCCACCCATGTTTTGAACACTACAATATCAGTTTGTGGTGAAAACCATTAACCTAACTCTTAACCTTAACCACCAACTATAAATCATAATCCTTTATTCTTTAAATTGCTTTATAACCTTCATTCAGCCCTAGTTAGTAGGTGGACATTCATAAGGTCATTAAGTCGTCTCTCAAAGGTCATCCATAAATTATAATCTCACCTATATAACAATGGTAAAATACTGGCATATTTTACTCCTTGTTTGTCATCTGGAGAAACACGAGACAGCCAGTCTGTGACAATTCAATTAGAATTCATTCATTGTATATATGGTAGATGAAAAAAGTTTACATTAGCTAACATGGTGGAAAGAATTTTTATGATTGGATGTGGACAGCATATGTTGACTACCGAAAAACTATAGTCTATGTTAAACAGAAATTTATTGGAATGTTGCAAAACTGATATAGGAACACGCCTACCATTACGAAATTCATAGTACTGAATAAACTAAATAGTATTACTGCATGCTAGATATTAGGATCTTGGTGCTAGGTTTAGTATCGACGAATTCAAGTGGATAACCACTTTTGATGAATATCTTTTGTATTCTTCTATAGATATATACTTACCAAACAAATATAAATACGAATATACAGCTTAAGTAAATGATTTCATAGAATAGAAAAGTTTCTTCGCTGAATTCGCTTTATTTACATTTAATGACACAATGGGTTATATTTATTATTCAATTAAATATTTAAGTTACTTGTTAGTAGTATAAGTTTCACAACGTAAATTTGTGTACAAACCATTTAGAAATCAAATTACATGATGTCTGAAGACAGTGTTCGTTACTAAGTTACATAAGCTGGAGAACAAACAACTAAGAATCAAAGGATAGTAAACTAGCTGTTTCATCATAGCTTTGGGCTTTTTAGGATCGTCCTAGGATGATAGCACACATGACATTAAATCTAGAATTTGTCAGTATAGAGGTTCGTGAACTGCTATTAAAAACCTGGAAAAATAATCAAAATCTGTTTCGTACTAGTATGAGTCTTTTCAGTGGTATGAATTTAAAATCCTGTCAGGAATCGAATACAGGACCTTTAGATTATGCAATAATCGCTTAACCTTCACTAATCGGATTTTAGTTATTAGTTATTTTAATAGTATATTCAATTGTATTCAAACAATTTCTGTTACGAATTTATTCATTATGATATTCTTTTAAAGTATACTTCTTTAAATTTGATTAGGAGTAAATGAAAGAATCTATGAAAGTTTACTAGTTGACAGATCAGTGTGTGATATTTGCCAAGATTAATCTCACTGTTTCGAGATCGTAGTAGGATCATTTTGTTAATAAATGAGTTGGTTGGAACTCACTGAGTGACATAAAGTGACATAAACTTATTTGTTAAATAGAATATTTGTCATCTATTATGACTTATTTTCTTATTTTTTTCACTTTTATTATTAAGGTTTTCCAACTAACGCAACTCAATTAACAAGGATACATTTATACACTGAATTTTAAGCCCAAATTTGGATGTAAAGGGTAATGATATCAACTACCTATCTAAACCTAAATAGATGTAATGGAGTTTAAATCTATAGTATTACAGGTGAAAAGCATGTATCTTAATCATTAAACTATCCGGTAGGATTAAACTATACTGCCGACCTTTGAACGATTCTTAAATGACCTTGAGAAATATTAGCCACTCAGAAGACAGTTAGTATACAGTAAAAATATATTATACAAAACCAAAGAATTAAAGTGAAAACACTTCTTTTACATGGGTCAAAAACTTCCCAAGGTCAGATATAAGTTCAGAAGTTCTAAAATCATAGTGCATACGGTACAGGAACACATCCATATGGCTCCATGGTAGTCGACCTCTGAAACCATGATAAGGTCTCAAAAATTCTTTTAGCCTCGACCACATAGCTTCAATAATGTTAGTATATTGGTATGTTTTACGGGTTAGGGTTAGAGTTAAGGTTTAGGTGTAGAGTTTAGGGTTATGGGTGAGACTATAAGTTATGGACAACCTTTGAGCGACGCTAGAGTGACTCTGAGAGTGTCAACATAATAACTAAGACCAAATGAGGGTTATAAACCAGTGTGAAGAATTCAAATTATGATTTACAGTTCATGATTAAGGCTAGGAATTATACTTAGGGCATTCATCACGAATTGACATCAGCTTTAATGCCAAAACTCTATTTATCCAAATGGATAATTGAATTTCGCGCCAAAATCTTATAATCACTTCTATTGTAGACGCTAAATTATCACGTCTTCCCTATAATCCGCTGTAAACCGACCGTACGTAAACATCAGGTACCGAACTTAGTGCCGTGACCTTGAAAACCCGCGAAAGCTTCTGATTGGCTCGGCATTATAGTTTAATCCTACCAACTATTCTATTTTGAGGTAGGGATATTCTAACGACGTCAGGTGTTAAGAGAGTTTTTTCTTGATTCATGTATTATGGTTTGGTAGGATGGGAGTGAAGTGTTAAACTGTGCCACTAAAATATTAGAAAAACCTCAAAAGTCTGGAGTTTATTTTAAATGATGCCGTTGTGATAAATGTTGGGGAGATTCAGTAAACTCCTCAAAAAAGCCAAAAAGGCTTTTAAAATGCAAAGAAACATCTTATCTAATCAGGACTCAATATAAGTTTTTTCCGGATACATCTACAAAGTGAAAAGTAACACGTCGCGTTTCTGATTGGATGACTACATATTCAGGTATTATGTTTAGTAGCGTTTCAAAAGTTTCCGAAATTACAAGGCCATCTAAGATGCTATAAAAACCCTAGGTTTTCTGTACAGTAACTAACCCTTGAATTAAAGCATTTCTTCTATATTTCGCACCTTTTTTCTCGTGTTCAAGTTGCTGTGTAGATTTAGTCTGGAGGTTACTAGAAGAACCTAGGAAACCGAATCTAGCGTTCAATAAACGTGACGTTATACAGCTTCTCGAAGTCTTGGATAAAGAGAAGTGATCATTAAAAAACATCCAACTTAGTAAAATCACAAATTTTAGCATTAGTTTCAACGAAATGAACCGTGGTATTGCAAACTGATTGAATGTGTCCAGTTTTACCACATTCAAAGCATTTAGAATTACGAAGTTGTGATGTTTGAATGAATCAATGACTTCTTTCTCTTGATGACTGTTGTAATTTTGAATTCCAAATACGATACATCCGTCTGTGCTCATCTAATACTTCTTGATTA